GGGGCAATAAAGGAGAAAGCTCGCTCATCATATGTTTTAAGATGGCAGCGGGGCTGTACCAGTAGTTCTTTATCAGACGAACGTAATGTCCTTGATGGTCTATAGTGAATTAAGAGGTCACTTCGATAGGATGGCGCTAGTTGATTATAGTTTAATAGTTCTGTCAATCAATGGATAGAGAGTTTCTTACATCAACGACAACAAAGAGTTGTATGCGAAGGGGAAATGTCGTCATGGGCTCCAGTAACAAGCGACGTACCTTAAGGATCCCTGATTGGATCTATACTATTTTTAGTGTATATAAATGATCTCCCAGCCAAATTACAGTCCAAAGTTCGACTATTTACAGACGACACTATTGTGTATATGGCTGTGACTAACGAAACCGATACTGCCATCTTACAAAAAGATCTCAAACTTCTTGAAGAATGGGGAAATAGATCACAGATGTCTTTCCACCCGGACAAGTGTAATGTGCTACCGAGTCACACGGTGCAGGAACCCCCTCACCCATGATTACATCCTACAAAACCAGATCCTTAAGGAAAAAGATGCAGTTAAATATCTTGGCGTCACTGTACGCCATAAGCTGTCTTGTAACGAACATATAATAACAGATCTCTTAGCACAGGTGTAATATGTTCATGTTTACGTGAGCCTGTTAGAAGTCGGGCTGCTGAATTCTGCACATACTGGAGTTTTCGGACTTGATTCTGCCGAAAAGCGTTAGAGTAGTATATTATAGTGGTCAATCTTGGATGTTACGAGTGCGTGGATCAAAGTTTCACGATGACGGAAAGAGATATGTTTACTGATTTGAGCAATGTTGCGCAGGTGGGAGAAAGCAGAGTGACATATGCTGTTTATTTGTTTGTCATAGACATGACAGTGTTGAACCACGCACCGATATTCTTTGCTGATTTCGATGAGTAGGTCATCTGAGCAAACAAGAATAGATTCTAGCGGGGGTTGTGGTCGATGACGGACGTGCAAAACAAGGAGCTCAGTTTTGTAGTGATTGAGCATGAACTTATTGGCTGACATCCAACTGTTAACATCGTGAATGCATAACTCAATGCGCAGTTTGGATGTAGTTGGTTCGCTAGCAGCACTTGGCTTGAAAGACAAATAAATTTGGCTATCATCTGCATAAAAATGATAGTTCGTGTTGCGCTTATTGGTGATGCCTGTGAGAGGTGAGGTGTACATGGAATACAAGATGGAACCCAGCACTGAGCCCTGGGGAACACCACAATGAGATTCCGGCTTGATGAGCGCTCAGTTCCGATCTTCACGAACTGGGTCCTCTCGGACAGATAAGACTGTATCCAACCTAAGGCTTTCCCAGTTATTCCGAAACGATGTTTTAGCCTAGTAATGAGAATTTCATGATCTACCGTGTCGAACGCCGCTGAGAGGTCTAGTAACACCAATATACACACTCTCCGTCGTTAATGGCACTTAGAATGTCATTGTGTATTCGCGTAAGCGCTGTTTCAGTGCTATCGCCTTTCTTATACGCTGATTGAAAAACATGTAGCCTTGCATCCTCAAGGTGATGATTGAGACGCACAGCTACAACCTTCTCGGTGGCTTTGGAAAGGAAGCTTAGGTTCGAAATAGGTCTGAAGTTCTTGTATACTTCATGATCTAGAGACTCCTTTTTCAGTATGGGGTCAACGACAGCTTCTTTGAAGGCTGTAGGTACAATCGCAGTGTTGAAAGACATATTAACAATGTCAGTAATTACAGGTAGCAGGGTGTCATAACACTCTTTCATTAAGATGGCCGGATTCGGGTCTACAACGCATGACTTCGAAGACATAGTTTTCAGAAGAGAGGACAACTCATTTACTGATGTCGGGGAAAACTCACAAGGTTCGTTACAGGTGTCAGGGAAAACCCAGGACAGTTGTCGTTACACACTGTGTTAATATTCAAACATGAAGAGACTGTTGCAGGTGGAAGGCTCATACGTATTCGCTGCACCTTGTCACTATGTATTGAGAGGATTCTAATTTGCAACTTGGTCAACCATAGTTATGCTTGTCGGTTGTAACAATCCATCCTTTTACATCGTTTAATGTTGATTAACTGTTTGTTTGCTTTCGTTGTACCTAATCTAACTTATTTTCAATTCTTTCACTTTTTTTTTCAGCGAAGCATTGCAGGCTTTTGAAACCAAGGGGAGCAGGCCATTCTCTGTCTTTACCCTGCTTTACCTCGTTTGGTTCAAAGTGCTACTTTGGATGTGCGCCTGGCTTCGTTATGATAGGAAACGGACAAGCCAGCTGCAGCAAGGTGACCAGATCTGGTGAAGTTACCTGGGTAGTAGATCAATTTTCTTGCAAAGGTAGGGTCTAAGCAGTGTTACTTTCTTTTCGTTTTTACAACAAAAAGTCAGAGATACCACTAATCTACTTTAAGTGTTTAGGTGAAATATGTCTTTGTCAAACTGAAGTGAATTCGTTAAATGAGCGAACGTAGTCAGTTTCAAATAGGATCTCAACGTCAAAACTCTTACTAATAGATTGTAATAATTCCTTTCAGCAAGAATTAAATTTTACTACTGTAATGTACAAAGGGTATAGCCCTACCTGGGTACCAGAGACCATTCATACGCCGTTTTTTTGTGGATTATTCGTCGTCAGAACGACAATCTGTCATAGTTTTTCCTCACCCACGCACTTCACTGACGCATGCGCCTTTTTATTTAACAGATATAAAAAGCTGTACACCAAATCCTTGTAAACACGGCGGAAAATGCATCGTCCAGGACCAAAGCTTCTCATGTGACTGTGCAGGAACTGGTTACAAGGGAAGCGAGTGCCAAAAAGGACTTGTCAAAACATCTGCTTTTCCAAAGTTACCAGTAAGCTTCAAGTCCGAGGCCCTTTACCTATCAGCTCGACCATCTAAAAAGCTGAACATTGTTTTATATGCTGAAAATGAGGTAGTGTTCTATCCGTCATCGTCTCTTGAGATTACATTTCCGGAAACCAAGCGAAAATTCTTTGTCCAAGCTGGCAAAGCAGGCGTTTATACCATCTCTTATAGTTTAGGAGGTCCCAGTGAGGTTGATTTCGAGGTGCCAGAACCACGCTCTTTCTTAGTCGAACCTCGCGTAACGATCAATGATAGTGTTTATTCAAAATTGTTTCTTCGTAAAGGAGGACTGCCAGTTGGATGTAACCAGCACATCTCTAAATCCCTATCCTGTGAATTACGATTCATCTCTACAAATGGATGGACTGGCGGTTCTCCTTCCACCGAAGGAATAGTCCATATAAGAACCTCTTCCAATCATTATATACCACTTTCAGTCGTTGGTTTAAGTTTCGATAAACTTAAAACTTCCAACAAGTTGTTGACACAAGTGGCAGCTGCACGCATTTCATCCAGTGGTGTCCTCGGTGATTTATACACAAGTAATGGGACTTGCATCCAGAAAGAATTGAGCTCTGACAATCTCTTGGAGTTAATGAAAGATGATGCCCTGGTCTCTTCCTTCATGCGCACATTTTCCAAGATGGCTCCTAAATGGCTAGTTCTCGCCACTAGCGAGGAAAATGAAGCTTTTGACATCCAAAATATCAAAGTAAACTTGGCTACAAAAGCATCACTTAAAGAGGAACATTGCTCAGGCTTTCCACTCAATCCATTGTCAAGCATTGCCTACTTCAAACCAACAGCAAAATATGAAGTTCATGTTTCCGACGACCAGTGTCCCTGTTTGCGGAAGGAGACACTTGCTTTGCAGCAGACATTTGCAAGTAATCTGTCTTTATACATTTTTCCAAGCACTCAGCCAATGAGCTAATCAGGCTAACAGCGTGTCAAGAAATGAAAGATAAAGGCGTCGAGATCCGAGTAGATACACTTGGTGTTTTGGAGAGTCCAGAAATTTATGATGTTGAAAACAGTGAGATTTGGAATGGGACACACTTCGTTAAGGCATCACCCTTTGCTTACAACATGTGGTTAAGGGGAGACGTAACTTGGAAGATGCAAATACCAGCAAAGCTAGATTTAATACTTCATGTTAAGGGAGAGAGTTATATTCACTACGAAAACATTGATGACGTAAGTCGATTATATGATCAACGCTAATAAAACGTATTTTCTCTTGCAATGTGGCTCACTCTACACGTGAGGTCAAACTTTTAACTTGCTTCACATTTTTCTGTTTTTAAGATTGCATTTTTATTCTAACTTTTGTTTGTGTTTTCTCGCAATATAGTTATTTATGGATCGCCTAAGCCGACCACTAGACATGGTAATAAAAGGAAACGCCTCTGTTGGCATTAAAGGAAGAGCTCTGGGTCAGGACTTCAATTTAGAAATTACTTCTATGCACATAATAGGAAAGGCCAGGCTTGGAGGTAAGACCTACTGTTTATATAGCAACAAAGAATATTAGACTTAATAGTAGAAATGAACCAAAAGAAATGTTTGGCTGCCTGGCTGTTAGGAGCTGGGAGGGCGAGCATTATCAAGACTTTCGAGAAAGTTATTCGTCCCATTAATTAACGCCCGCAGAATGAAGTCTCTCGCGACTTCGTCGCTCACTCCTCTTCTTGGCGGCCTGAAAATGTCGCTTCACAGCTTTTCCTCTGGTGAGGTAGACTTTCGGCAATGTTTAATCCTATACAAACGCCGTTTTACTCTTTGACAGAAACATTTAATTCGGATAGGAAATATGTTGCGCTAGTAAAAAAAAAAACTTAGAAATTAAACATGCAAAGGCACCTCGTACTTAAATCATGAAGAATCAGCAACTTGTGCTTGTACAATGCACTCAGCCATTGTAAAATTGACTTACATCCGACATGACCAATCGATAAAAATGTCTTTTCGTTAAAAAGGTACTCTTTCCCGTATTCATTCCTATACATATTTTGCTTTATTATTACCATTATCCTTTACACTCGAAAGCAGTTTCTTTACTTTTTTTTTTCTCTTTTTTTTTGTCCAATTCTCAGATGAGAACAGCTGCCAAGATAGGATGCAGGGTGTGTTCCTGAGTCTTAAAAATTCCGAGAATGGTGCATTTCTCAAAACACCTTTCTATCCTTATTTGCGCGCTGCAGAAAATCAACAGTTTCACGTTACAGCACTCATTAAATACAACGGAGGTGCACGAGATAGAGTCACTAATATAAGAGAAATACGGCGCAGCTTGACAAACCTACGGTTCCTCGTACCAGAGCTGGAGGACATTTTCCAGCAGTCAATTTCAATGCTTCCAGAACATAAGGCCACCCTAGAAAAATGGATTCAGACGGGTACCGTGTTAAGTGGAAAGGTTCGCGAATTCCGTAGGGTGCTGTTTTTCAATCGAGCGATTGACATCAAGAAAGTCAGAAACTTGGTGGCTGACATCAATGCAAAGATCTATTTTGTACGAAAGAACGTAGAGATTCTAAAGTACCGCTTGCTGTTGAAAAAGGCAACCTCACCTTTACTTACCATGATTGAAGACTTTCAGTTAGATTTCCCAGACTCTCTACACTTAAAGTTCGGAGGAGAGAGCACTGAGCAAACCCTGCTTGGCGTAAAAATATACCTTCGCTGTGATCTCTGCATGAAGAAGCTATGTCTGGAGAACATAACTGCAGTAGTCACATTCCTTGACAGTAATGGGTGTGGCTCCCATCTATTTCCCGGGACAAAATTTTATGTAAGTGGCAAGGCGCCAAAGATGCTGTCTTTGAGCCCAGGTAAAATCCTAATTCTTCCAGAAGGACAACCTATTAATATCGTTTTTGAACGCGACTCTGAGCATTTGTCTATTGAATTTGGAGTGTGGATACGAATCCTTGGTTTAAGTAAGCTGGCAAATGCGACTTTAGACAAGACACAGCTATCAGTAAAAGTTAAGGGGGAAATTTTTGAGAAATTCTCAACAGAGATGAATGTTTCTGCAAGAATCGAAGAAAAGCAAGATTGGAACTCACTGCTCTTTTTGGTGGAAGGAAAAATGCTGAAATCATCTCTTCTTCCAAATATGCTGCAAGGGGCTGTTAATAAATATTTGCATGTTCTCGCAGAAAACGCCCAAACGAGGATTCAAAAAGCTGAGAACGCTAGTATGAACGCCAAAAGGAAAATCAAAGATGCAGAAACGATTCTTGAAACGAAGGAGATCACCTTGGCTAATGTCTCCAGGATATTGGAGGATAAGACGAACAATCTCGTTAAAAAGCGAATTGCATATGCTCGGCGTAAGATACAATTCAACTCGACGCTTTTGCGCTACCTACACTTCAAGGATCAAACCCTGTGCGAAATGAAAAACTGCGAAAATGTCGACTTAAACACTTGCATACCTGACGTTTGTAGAAAGGAAATTAAAACCACATATACTGTACCCGACTGTAAGGAAGTTAACAAGAAAATCAATGTGGTTCGCCTAGAAGAGGTTTCAGAACGGGCATGTTACAAATATCAGACGCCCAAAAAGTACTCTGTTCGTGGAGGAAGCTGGTGGAGCAGTCAGAAATTAACTGTGAGTGGAGGCGAAACAAAAAAAAAATGCTATAATAAAATCAGACATGAACGAAAAACTAAAGAAGTTAATGTAAAGAAGTTTGAATGCGCAGGCAATCCCAAGGTTTTAGACAGTATTTCAGGTTACACTCAACCATATGAATGTTGCAACAAAGCGATAACCGAAAAGGTTCAGATTTTGAATCCTCAATGTGTTCGTTACAACTCAGATTGTTGGGAAAACATGACCGAATTTAGCCAGCAGCTAACACGACAACACGATAACAGAAGCGCGCTCTTTGCAGATTTTCAGTATTTGTCTGAAATGGGACAGCAAGTAGATTTTGCTCAAATGGAAGTTAACACGGCACGAACAAGAGTTCGCTTAGCATCAAATCAGGTCAAACTTGCCCGAGCCTTGCTCCAACAGCAACAATATGCTGAGAAATCCATAAGTATTAGTAAAATCAAAGACCAAGAGCAGCTTGGGATAGGACTGGCACACAAAATGAAGGCTCTAGGTGGTAAGGAACTGATCTCGGTGGAAAGTCTTTTGTTCTCGACATGGATGACCTCGGCCACCAAATCTTTGTTACCGTTCCTGGCATCTGTAAAGGATGTTGATGGGCGTAACAAGTTTATTGAGTTTCCAATGGAATTTAAAAGACTTGAATACTCCATAAACTCAGCTTCGAAACTTATCATACAGACAATCTTTGGAAAAGTTAATACTAGAAAAAGAAGATCAACGCATGAAGATTTTGTGGAAGACGAACTTGGCATGGACATTGGGCAACGTATGTGCTTTTTCTCCCACCAAGCAAATGCTTTCTTTAAAGATGTCATAGACTCTTTGGAATTTCTAATTGAAAGTGCAAATGTGTACTTTAAGGACTTATCTTCAGGAATCAATGAAGTTGATTCGCATTTTAAGGATTCGGTAGACAAATCCTCCTCGCCTGGTCGAAAGATTCAGACGTCCTTCAGGGAGATGATGGAGTCCCTTAAAGATAATTACATGTCTATCCGAAGTGAGACAACATGGGAGAGTATGCTTGAAAAATGGCGCGACCATCTCAATGTTTTGACAAGCAACAACAACTTTACAAAGTGTTCAGGAATTCAGGATTGTTTGGACTACTACTTTCATAATTTGGAGGAATTCTATCTCTTCGAAGACAGTCAACGAGCACTCGAGATAAAGCAGAAACTACAAGAGATGAAAACTCTTTTCAATAGCTTGTTACAAAGGAATTATTCAATTGCCGAAGTACAAGAAATTGTTTTTAAGGCCACAGCCTTATTAAACAACACAAACGACGACTCAGTGTTGTGCGGAACCAGTCCAGTCATTGTAAAAAGCTCGCCTGCGGAGGTAGTGGTCCTGACAGGTGACACAGTAAACCTTACATGCTTAGTCTCGAACTCAAACGAAGTAGAAATCGTTTGGATTAAAAACGAAAGAGTTATAGAGGACATGAACGATGAAGTGCTTGTCATAAAAAATGCTCACACGGAAACTGAAGGAGTATACCATTGTGAAGTTTCTAACAACAGAGGTAGCACAGTTTCTAACGTTACCATTGTGGTTGTGCAAGAAGCTCCACGAATCACAGAGCATCCACGTGACGTTCGCGTTCTGGTGGGAACTGAGACGTTGTCAATGATATGCAACAGTGACGGGGTACCTAAGCCAACGACAGAGTGGTTTTTTAAGTCACGCATGGACAAGGTGATACGAATGAATTCCTTTGGTCGCATATTAACAAAGAAAAACCTCTCATCCCAAGACTCGGGATTTTATTATTGTAATGTTTCAAACATCCATGGGACAACAACAAGCAGAATGGCGAGGCTCAACGTTCTGAGATTTACCCCAGGGAAACCACGAATCGCCGTATCACTGAAATTCGCCCGATGCGCATTTGACAGTTTTCCATATAACGCGTCAAACTGTACCACCCATCACTACACACCACCCCTGCAACTCAATTGTACCGGTTTTCACACTTTCTTCAGAGAAATGACTGGTAAGATGAGGTGGGCATGGAAACAGATAGAGAGACTCGATTCCAGTCCATATTCAGATGTCTCGTTGTCCTTTGTGATCACAGCCAATGGAAGCAACATGTCATCAAATGTCAGTTCAGACATTATCGCTGCTTTGAACAGCTTTTCCCTTTCACGTTCCAAACTTGCCCGCGATTTATGGTCTTTTCGCACTGCTTTAGAGGAAAGGAAATTTCACTTTATTAGGAAAAACGAGCTTATCGTCCTCAAACATGGAGGTTTTGCTGCTGAGCTTGTCACCCAAAAGTGTCTTGAAGGAAAAGAGGCTGATGAAAATGGATTTCTTTGCGGTGGGTATTACTTCATCCTCTCAAATTTTAGTCAATTTCTTTTCAAGTTAAGTATAAAATATCTAGAGAAGAACAGTTTGAAGTAAAACGACGTGTGTTTATCAATATTTTTACTATTTGTATATTTATTATTTTTATATCTTAGACATGGGAAATTTTCTATTCTGATATCGTCAGGTAATGGACGTTTCTCAAACTCGCGGCTGAATAACGAACTTCTGTTCGTAACTGCCTTTTTTTTGGGTTCAAGTTCAATGTTTTGTTCCTATTTTGCAGTAAACTGTGCACCTGGATATTATGGGAGGTCAAATGGTTCATGTGTCCCTTGTCCTGCCGGCACATATCAGCCAAACGAAGGGAGTGCAGAGTGTAACAAATGCCCATATATACGTTCTCAAACTGAACTTGGAGCTGTTCTAGAATCGCAATGTATCGATATTTGTGAGTCTGAAAATTGCTTTCTATGCCTTAAAAAGAAAAATTTAAAAATGTAACTATTGCTGTGCTATGAATTAGTAGGTAAAATCTTTGGAGAAATTTCGCCAAAGTTTCATTCGCTTACAAAACGTTTTGTGTGGTATACGTCATTCTGATTTGTCAAAGACAGAAGAAGAGAGTATTTTTTTGCCTGCGTCGCAGACTTTCTAATCTTCTGTATAGAGCGGATTAAGAATGGTTTTGACGAGTGCGCGGGCCGGAAGCAACGTAGTCTGCTACACAGCTGCTTTTAATGTCGTCACGCAATGCTCCTCCCCAATAGGGAGGAGCGTTGCGTGACGACACTAAAAACGGCTGTGTAGCAGACTAGATGCAACGCAGCATAGTCTTTTTTGGTTGTAACCTAATTTTCTCTGATCCTGGAAAATGAGAGCTATTTCCTGTTTTCATTATTTTGTAGCTATTCCCTGCAATCTTTCAAATGTCACTATTAAACACGCCCAAGTGCCAGAGAATGGAAAGACGCGCTATCGTACTGGTGAAACGTTGCTGTTGGGTTGTCAAATCGGTTACAAGTCGGTAGGAAACGGTTCACGAGAATGTTACGAAGGGAACTGGACGACACAGGAGTTTTTTTGTGAAAGTGAGTACAGTTGTATCTTTCCATTTCAGGCATATCTTTTGGAATGTGACTTGCATTTTGCAATAGAACCCCTCCTTCTTACTTCTGCTGGTTATATATCACTGCAAAATCGAGGTGCGATGGTAAGACCTAAAAAGTGTAAACGTTTCCAGCTGCGTGAACACCAAATAAGTGTTCAGTTAGCAGTAACAATATGACGTAAATAAGATCCTGAATGCCCTTAGAAACACCAAAAAGGGTTACAACTACCCTGAATTGGTTTTTATTTGTGAGGTAACCTTGTTCTCTCTCTTTCTCTCTATTCAGAAACGTGCTTTCCACCCTGGACTGAGTTCAAGAAACGTTGTTACTTGGTGATAGATGTGCTTTCGTACCGGTGGAAGGACGCTTATGCTGCGTGCCGTTCCCTCAACGGTTCGCAAATGATAACGATATTCTCGGAAGAAGAAAACGATTTCGCCGCTAATCTTGCTAAGGTATTTACTTTTTTATTAAGAATTTATTTTGCCGCAAACAATTATCGGCGATTTTTCAAGAACTTCTAAAAGTTTTGAAGACATCAAAGTCAAACCGTGTCCTTTTCGAGTTTTAGAGAGAGAATTTTGACCTTCAAGTTTAGATCAAGAGAGAGAAAGGATTTTTTCTTTAAAAAAATAATTATAAATATTTAAAAGCTTAGATTTTAAAAGATATAATTTTTGAGGTTTTAGCTGCACTTTTGACTTGTAATTGAGGTGTGCTACATTCGTTGGGTTGTAGCGGAAATAGGTCGAGTCAAGGCAAATGCAACTTAAGAGTTAGTCCAATGAATTGCTCGGTGAACATATTTAAAGCCATGTGTCAGACTTAACCACATAAAGTACTTAATTAAATTTTAGGCTCATATCAAAGAGAAAAACGTGACCCAGGTACAACTGTGGCTTGGTCTAACAAAAGAAAACATCCAAAGTCCTTTTCAATGGGTGGATGGACGAACCTTATTATATGGAAGCTACACCAACTGGTCGCCAGGAGAACCAAACAACGCTCATGGCCGCGAGTTGTGCACTGAGATGCTGGTATCAGGAATGTATGGGACTCATAAGTGGAATGATATAAGATGTGACACCACGGGATTCAAGACGATTGCCATTTGCAAGAAACCCTTGCGAGCTGGTGAATAAAACGACTTCGCGGATGCTAACCATAGAATCACGCTTATACTTATTGTCCGAACACTCTCAGTCAAAGTAGGCTAACAATACAATATACACTCAGACAAAGCAATTCGGGTCTATTTAGCGTTTATCTAGACAGGCTAAATAATAACATAAGTATTTTCAGGATGTCTTATTTGCTTAGCGAGGAGTTTGCGAGGAGGCCCGGCTAACTCCTTCTGATAACATGCAAATTATAGCCTGCGTAGCAAGCGTTTCCGCGCGATGCAAATTGAGGCATCATTTAAGTAAATTTTGGTATTAAATAAAAATTTTCTGTGTTCGTGTGAAAGGTTTTTTTTGTTCCTGGTTTGTTGTTTTTAGAATATGCATTTTTTTTTTCATAGTGTAGTTTCATGATAAAGGACGTGACAAGAGAGCCGGCGCCTACGGGGCTGCCCACAATTTCGAAGAGACGCCTTGAAAGACGTATGTCAACGGAATTTTCGTCTCTTCCATCGGTTTGTTTAGTTCATTTTTATAGTAAACGTTTATTTTGAAAAATAAAACACTTTGGTAAAGTGTTCGGACGTCAAACGATCAGCAATGGACTTCTGAATTTTAAAAATCTGTAGTTCTAACAGTGGACCGATGTAAGTTGTCAGCGATGATTTTTATTAATACTTAAGATAATTTATAGTGTGCGAAACAAGCCCTTCTTTAGATTAAAATACTTACTCAAAGTAGCCTAGACACGACAAAACGATCTAGCCAGTATAAAAAGTGGTTTTAACCCTCTAGGGAAATGTTCTTTAAAAGAAAATTGAACAGAATGTTATAACTGACTTTTAACTCAAAGTAATTGCATGTATAGGCTTAGATTCTTTCATTAATCATTATTACAATGTATCGACAAATTCCTTGTACTCTTTCTTTTTTCTACAATAGTTTTCTAAGTATTCGGTTTAATCCACAGACCCAGTAAAGTTTTATCGGTACCATTGATCACGGGTTGTTTGTGCATTTATTGACTCGCTTTCCGTATGCTCCGCTGCCAGGGTATGTACTTTAATTAAAGATATTGCTATTGTAGTCCTACGAGTTGGTTATCTCACTAACAGGGGGAAATGACTTGCTCATTGATTAAAAAATCGACTCGATGCTGATCATTGTTTGACTATGAGAAAAAATAATTTACACAATTTCGGTACTGGTCGATAAACCCATTGATTTGTCAGCAATTTGTAAGGACTGTTTGGTCCTTTGAACTGGCGATGGGTATTAATGGCAAAACGTGGAAATCGTGTTAGAATCAAGACAACTGCCAACTTACAATTTATTGGTACTGGGTTTTATTACGTAGCATAACCCATACATAGCAAAATATCTGTATTGAACAATTGCAACTGATCCCCCCGGGCAACTGATGCGTGTATACGTCACAAGGAACTACAACAGTTTGGTCTTCTCTCGCGCTCCTCCCCCCCTCTCTTTAATTAGAGACCGACCCTTTCACTTTTGCGGGGTTGTATATTGGGTGATTTCGGAAAAAAAATATATCCTGCTGACTGATTCCGAAGGAAAAAATTCTTGCAAGTAATACCTTCGGAAAGAAATATCTTACACTGAAAAAAAAACGTCTTTCGTGGCTTATAATCCTGGGCAAAAAATCTTACATCTTTCGTGGCTTATTATCCTGGAAAAAACATTCTCTGTCCAGAGGATTGGAGAAAAACTTTTTACCCAAACCAAATCACCCATCCCCCCTTCTATAGACAATTGTTCGACCCCTTAAAGACGGTTTGATCATTGCTCTGTTGTATACATGTATCAATTTATCCGTGTGCGACCTGAGTACGTTTAACAGGGATTGGGACCACAAATGATCCCTCTATTTCCCGGAATTCATTTGCGGTATTTCCCACAACTTAAAAGCTAAAAATGAACTCTCTGTGCTACTCTGTGTGTCTGATATATAATGTATGCTTATCTGAGGTAAAGCGAGGGAGATTCCTGCTCAGTGATTTACATCAAGGCTATAGTTCCGTCAGTAATCATAAATACATGCGTTAAATTTTGCCATAATAAACATTTCGTGGTCTACATGCACATGCCGGTGGGTTTCAGAGAATATTAATTTTGCATTATATCTTAAACTGATACGTGTGACAGGACAATCCCTGCTAATAGAATTTCCAAGAAACTGAAACAAGAGATTTAGTGATAGTACGATAATAAGTTTGGCTAACTTAATGTTTCGAAAACGAAAAGTATTATTATGTAGTTTTATCACATTGCATTTGAAGTTCAGTTTTAGTCTATTTCAGCAAAGATGGTAAATTCGTCTTCGAAAGACCAACGCGTGGGTAAACGACTAATTCCCTAACCTTTATCAAAGAACAGCCTGGAAGACTTAACAGATCAGAGCACTTAG